CAAGTGGCCTTCTACCATTACCACCTCTGGATATTACTTTCTTGGCTCATCTTTTGCTTGCGGTGCCACAAGTGTCTATTTGCTCACCTTTCTTCCACTTCAGCTTCCCTTCCATATCCAATGGCAGGATTTGAAGGACCTGTTTCGTGCCGCTGGTGCTGTTGCTCGAGCAGATGTCACCGTTGGGCCTGATGGGCGCTCTCGCGGGTTCGGAACAGTCGTCTTCGTTACGGAAGACGGTGCTGAGCGCGCGCGCAGGATGTTTGATGGGTGCGTTGCAGCCTTCTTCATGACGTACGATGCGCCTTCCGGGTTCATGTGCACATCCCTCTCTTGTTCACATTTTGACCATAAAATATTTTCGCTGTGTAGTGATGTGGCATGTCGCGGCACTACACTGGATAGGAACCCTTCGATGCCTTCGTGTTCTGTTAATCGATTCTGGCTCATGTGCTGATTGTTTGTGATTATGATCTATTCCAGGTATGAATTCAATGGACGACCATTGAAGGTCCACTACGATAAATTCTCGCCGTCTGCAGCTCCGGTACCTCTTGTTGGCGCACAAATACCAGTCCCATCCACTCTATCACAGTATGCTCTTGCATCTCACTTGCAATCCCTACAACTAGAGTCCCATCGGTTGGGACGCCAACAAAACGAACATCTATCTCAGCTCAAACTCGATGGGCTGTTACATCCGCAATTAGATTCTTTAATGCACCCACAGTTGGATTCGCTTAGACGTGCTGATCTAGACCCCATAACATCATCTCAGCTGGAAGTCCTGTTAACTCACTCAATCGCGCCATCAAGTTCTCGATCCTCCGACCCTTCTCTCGGTTCAAGTCCCCTTACCCCCGCCCCCCTCACTTCTCCTACACTCATGCACACTCAGTCCCTTGCGCCGTCAGCAGCCCATTCACTAGCACCTACACCCACCCATCCGCATTCGTTGACAAGCTCGCCTCATCTAGGGTTCTCAAACAATAGCTCGACAAACTTCGCTCCCCTCGGCCTATCTCTGGGTGCCGACGCGCTTACCGCCAAGTTGCCCCCACATTCGGGTGTCGCTGATTCCCTCAGCTTGAAGCTAAACACAGACATGAAGCTCGGGGGCGATATGCATCTGCTATCATCAAATAAATCACGGACATCGAGCTCCAGCTCGCAGCGTCCAAGCGTCTCTGCGGGCTCTTCGCAAGCGCAAAGCTATACCACATCGACTTCATCGGGGTCATCACGGCCAAGCTTTAGTACAGCATCATCATTGACTGATGGTACAAACTTCTCCCAGCGGCTCTCGTTCGGTGCGTCGCAATCCCAGCGACCGTCGTTCAGCTCTTCGACATCCCAACGCCCCACCTTTAGCTCCACGTCTCAGCGCCCGTCCTTTAGTGGCAGTTCTGCGCGGCGCCCTACATTCAGTGCGAGCTCGCTATTGAACGAACCATTCTTCGATGGTGAGCAAGAGGGGCAGGGGTCTGTGGGCCATCCTGTCAGTATGGGCACGTCGCGGGAGAACTCGGGCTCGAGTTCGAGCTCGACATTTTCCCTACCTTATACACTGACTCGTCCTAAGTCGGATATAGGCAGTGATACCGCGTCAACGTCCCCTCCGGCGAGCGGGGGATGGCCAAGTATAGCGAGTCCCCGGCAGAACTCGCCTAAATCTGTCATGCTTGCGCATCCGATCCTCAGTTCAGACTTGTCGAACAAGTCTCAATCTATGTGGGGTGCTTCAGAGGTTGAGCCAAGCCAAGGATCCACGCCAGCCAAGTTTGAGGGGTCAGGAAACACCGACGTCACCACGACCGCACTTGGATCTCTGTGTCTGCGAAGGTCCAAGGCATTGGCTTCCAAGGCTGCAGAGAAAAACAAAACTTCTTCACTAAATCTGAAGTCTACATCTCCATCTCCGCAGAAGCCATCTCAGGCATCCTCCCGCCGACAACCTGGACCTATTGCGCTGCCTCCTCCATGTACATTTACACTCCCACATCCACCGGTGCTGTCCCCATACCTTCCGCCCCACCCACAGAGTCCAATGTATCACGCTGGCTACATGCCATCTCATCCCATGAGTCCGTTGCATCATCCGGGTGTGCGCAGCCCTATACATCACCCCGCGATAAGCCCGCTCCATTCCCCTTACCATATGCACTATGGTGTCATAACGCCACACGGCCTGCCTCCCATCACACCAAGCATGCCGCCATTTACATTCTTGCAGCCAACAAACGGTCGTGCCAATACCACAGAGCAGCAGAGCTCAAATAATGGGAATCACCAGGATCAGGCAATAGAAGGCCGAACAGAGGCTCCCCCACCATCATCCCCATACCACCTTCCGCCGCACTCCCAAGTTCCGTACACGTCGCACCTGCTTTCGCACATGTTCTCTCCCGGAATTCCTCTTTCACCTGGGATCATGGTGCCCATATCCACCGGACACCCGTCATCAGTGGCAATAGTGCCGTTGACGCCTGGTGGAGTACCGATGACGCCTGGCGTGACGATAACACCTGGTGCTTTTTGGCCGCAGGCACCGTGGATAAACCCAGCTCCGGGAGCCCCTGTGCATGCAGACGAACAATGGCACAATCATGGTCATCCCCCGAACTCTGGGGGCGATTACTTCCCTCCGCAGGGTGGCCCGGATGATGATACAGGTTACTTCCCACCCGTTTACAGCATCGCGAAAGAGATATTTAAAGAGGGAAGTGAATTCCATTCCAGTGAGCAGGAGGGAGAGAGTCAGTCGAAGGATTCCCCGCCTTCAAGGATGGTTTCTCCTGCGCCTAAATCGGTGCAGGAGGGACAACATGTTGACAGCGACCGCAGGTATAGAGAAGCGCGGCGGACGGTGTCACCCCAACCAAATCGGGTTGCAACAACAGAAGGGGGCCATGTACCCCGAAGGGTGGGCCTAACTCATCGGTCGGATTCAGACCCCTAGCAATGGGAAGGGGCATAGCTGAATCAACTTGCACTGTGGGATTCTCATTTATTTGTAGGTTGCAGGTCGGGGCAACCTGGGTTTCATTTGTTTTTGCATTGTAGTACATCTTTAGCATCATATCTACTGGAACATCTGTGCATACCTATATTTTCTTGATTGTTGATATCGTTTCCTAATTCATTATCTTGTACTATCACCTTGTACTACAAGTACTACAAGGTCAATATCACCCCGTGCGATCCTTCCGTGAGAATTATCAGTTATCAGCGCCCGCCGCCAGCCACGCTTATTCCTGGCATGTCCTGTGTCAAACTAGTCTTTATTTCATTTTGCGTTGGCAAATGACTGCTAATCCTATGTGACTTCAACCCGTCACCGCTCACCATATCGGCGTGGATGTTCATGCCCAGCCTCGCAGTCAAATCTCATCTGGTACACCATTCCGGGTATCAGTGGATGTGAGTGGACCAGATCGAGGTGTCAATGTGCAGAGGTGGAATCTGGCCTTTGTCACTGTAGCTGTTGTCCAGGGACCGTTGACACTTGAGCTGCACTGCTCGGAGTCGAAGGCTTGACTTCGTTCAAGATGAAAGACAGTGGAAAAGGACAACCAGAAGCGGAGGACCTCAAGCGACGGCGATCCCGCTGAAGCAGGTTTCCGCTGATCCGCGTCGTTTTGTGCTTTTCTTCGCGAAGCCTCTACTAAGTGAGTCATTCTCGTCTAACCTTTTTTATATGTGTTATTAAACAATATTATTAATGATATAGACTGGACGTTCGGGCTTTCATTGTGGCTGACAATGAGTCGATCCCAGCGGTCCAGATATCATCCACGCAGGTTCTTATTCTTGGGCTCCAATAGATTCATCCTGAACCATCCGTTGTGAAGTTCTGCCGTCCAGGCGCAACTAATCTGCCAAATCAATAGAGCTTCAAGTTTTTGCCCACAATAATGTTTTCAGGATATAAAAGCAAGCTCTGTCTACCTCAGTAGTTCAGAATCTCCTCTGCGAAGCTTTTATCACTTGTATACATCATGCACATCTCCTTCAAATTCCTCGTCGTCGTTACTACTTTGGCAGCATGCATGTCTGTCACTGCCGCATGCAGATCTACCAATCAGGTCTGCGATACCAACGATGATTGCTGCAGTAGCCGCTGTTCTCCAATGATAGTGAGTATGAGTAGCTTGCTTTGCATCCAGTATTCAACCCTGTTGCTCACCCCTTGCACCTTCAATAGCACGGCGGTCAGAAAATCTGCAAGTAAGACTCCTTACCGATGGGCTGGCAGCCCGTCCATGAGCACATCTGGACAGTGAGTCGTGTTTCCGCTTTCGCATTGGTGCTGTGGCTGATGGCACAATATGTAGTTCGTTGCTGAATCGGTCAATATCAATGTGGTTGTTCTTGGAGTCTGTTGTTTCCCCTGCTTCGTGGGCAATAGAGGCGCCTTTTTGATTAATCTGAACACTCAATATTGACTTACTTTACGTGGGGAGCGATTTCAACGTCCAGAATTGTGCTGCGTCATTCAGAGCTTGAATATTCATTGCCGAAGTCTCCATTATGAGTATAGCGGCTGTAGCAGTCGAGGTGGGAATTTTGACCGCCGCTGATGGGCGCGTCAAACTTTGGACATTTTCAATGTTCATTCAACATCGTCTCTCAGACTCACCACCCAACTTTAAAGTTCAGTTTTCACGCTTGTTCTTGCTGAACATTCACTCATGGATGGATCCTTCAAGGTCTATCTTAAGTAGTCATGGCCGACTGCCCCCAGAACATATTAGAAATGTTGATGATGCGGATTCAAAACCTGCCGACAAATGTCTTATCGCACCCTTGACATTCACGCATGGACAGTTCTTTGGAAGTTCCTCTCAACCTGTGAAGCGTACTGGCCTAAGTGATTACCACAACATAACCGAAATCTGTTTCTCTTGGACTCCGCAGGTTCGAAACCTGCCGACAAGTTATTTTTCTCTCTGAACACCCTGGCATTCACTCATGAATGGATTCGTCAGAGGTTCTTCTAACTGGTCTTAGTTAAGTGGTTATCACAACAGAATCAAAATCTGTTTCTCTTGCACTGTGCAGGTTCAAAACCTGCCGACAAGTTTTTTCTCTTTCTCGGAACTATGCACTGCAGAAAAATGCAGATTACATCTGGGACGCATCTGGCACGAATCTAGACATTCGCACCACATTCGTCGCACCTAACACTCACATCACAGCAGCGCTGGGATTTCATACTAATCCCCTCATTATGACCAGATCCTTGCAATATTCTACCCACTGTTGAATTCACGGTCTTTTTTTTTTTGTCTAAGTCCAAAGTTCTGTGTGCATAGAAACCCTTGACCCAGCCAAAACACTTCTTGCGCTGACACGACGACGATCGAGGCTACGTTCGTCCATTTCGTGTATTTGCCTGCTATACTAATAATGATACATGGCTGCTCGTGTATCAGCCTAAGGAGATAAGAGATTGTCGAAATCAGCATCTGCCCCAGAGTACCAAAGATTCGCAATGGTGAGGTGACGACGCTGCAGGAGTTTTCACATACTGAAGCATTTCTCACAGATCTTCGACTCTTGAGCCATGGTGTAGGCACCTTTAGCAACAAGTGAGAATGATTCATTTCTTTGTTTTGGTTCTGTAAGTGGCTGAGTCTTCCCTGCAACAGTACAATTGTTGTCTACCGAAGGGAGCAATGTTTTCAAATGGGTGAACGCTAATCGAAGCTTCCGAACGTTCTACTGATATAATTCAAGACTGGGATCAAGCCTTTCCTTGTGGCAGGATATTTGCGCCATTTATCTTTCCCGGGCTGTACATGACACTTTCATCACAGATCTCATTAATTATTCAGGTTGATGCTACATGATATCCAGTCCGTCAGCCAATCGGGGTATCCAACCAGGCGCCCCAAGGATTTTTTGATGGCATACCACATCGTACTCACGTGCGTCTGCCGGCGCATAGTACCATATTTCCTGACCACCATATTCTTATGCGATTCGATCCCCACAATACGCCATCACGAACCAGTATTTTTCACAGCTGCGCGCGTGTGGCTTACCAGTTGTCGACATTCCGTATGCCAAGGGCAAATGTGTATGTCATTTTTGTCCTTCTCAAATGTTCAAACCTATCTCATCACCTAGAGGAAGGCATCAGCACGAGAAAACGGAGGCCAATAATTCCATTGAAACCCAAGAACCCTGCTGCAAGCACCTCACGCCCTCCCAATAGCAACGCCCCGCCACACAAGAATCTAGTGGCGCTGCTCGGGCCCAGTCATCTTCACAACCACAGGCTGCCGTCTCCACCTCCACCGCGCCCCCTGCGCTCGCTAACACAACAATCATCATTCAACAATAAGACACACTGGATGCTGAACTCACTTCTGGCTGTTTTTTGTTGTACCTCTCCCGAGTATACCGACGGTCATCATCAATCTACCATTCCTGCGTCATTTACAATGATCTTATCTGACATGCCACTGTGACATGGCGTACGGAAAATGGAGGCATAAAGTTGTTTTTTTATATACCCATAAACCATTTTTAACTGATATGTTCTGTTGTACTGCGCGAATTGTAGTACATCTTTAGTATCATATCTACTGGAACATCTGCATACCTATATTTTCTTGATTGTTGATATCGTTTCCTAATTCATTACCTTGTACTATCACCTTGTACTACAAGTACTACAAGGTCAATATCACCCCGTACGATCCCTCCGTGAGAATTAATAGCTATTATAAAGCAACGCCAGCCACCGACTTGCTTATTCCAGGATATGTCTTGTGTCAAACTAGTAATTTTGCGGTAAATGACTGCTAATCCTATGTGACTTCAACCCGTCCCCGCTCACCTTATCGGCGTGGACGTTCATGCCCAGCCTCGCAGTCAAATCTCATCTGGTACACCATTCCGGGTATCAGTGGATGTGAGTGGACCAGATCGAGGTGTCAATGTGCAGAGGTGGAATCTGGCCTTTGTCACTGTAGCGGTTGTCCAGGGACCGTTGACACTTGAGCTGTACTGCTCGGAGTCGAAGGCTTAACTTCGTTCAAGATGAAAGACAGTGGAGAAGCACAACCAGGAGGGGAGGACTTCAAACGACGGCGATCCCGCTGAAGCAGGTTTTCACTGATGCGCGTCGTTTTGTGCTTTTCTTCGCAAAGCCTATACTAAGTGAGTCATTCTCGTCTAGCCTTTTTTATATATGTTATTAAACAATATTATTAATGATATAGACTGGATGTTCGGGCTTTCATTCTTTTTGTGTAACATGGCCGACCATGAGTCAATCCCAGCGGTCCAGATCTATATATCATCCACGCAGGTTCTGATTATGGGGCTCCAATAGATTCATCCTAAACCATCCGTTGTGAAGTTCTGCCATCCAGGCGCGACCAATCTGCCAAATCAATAGATCTTCAAGTTTTTGCCCACAATAATGTTTTCAGGATATAAAAGCAAGCTCTGTCTACCTCAGTAGTTCAGAGTCTCCTCTGCGAAGCTTTTATCACTTTGTATAAATCATGCATTTCTCCTTCAAATTCCTCGTCGTCGTTACTACTTTGGCAGCATGCATGACTGTCACTGCCGCACAGTGCAAGGGTCAGTTCAGGCTCTGCAGTACGAACAATGATTGCTGCAGTCATAACTGTGCTCCAGTGAAAGTGAGTATGAGTAGCTTGCTTTGCATCCAGTATTCGACTCTATTGCTCACCCCTTGCACTTCGCAATATCAATAGCCCGGCGGTCAGAAAATCTGCCAGTAAGACTGCTTACCGATGGGCTGGCAGTCCGTCCATGAGCACATCTGGACAGTGAGTCGTGTTTCCGGTTTCGCATTGGTGCTGTGGCTGATGGCACAATATGTAGTTCGTTGCTGACTTGGTCAATGTGGCTGTTCCTGGAGTCTGTTATTTTCCCTGCTTGACGGGCAATAGAGGCGCCTTTTTGGTCAATCTGAACACTCAATATTGACTTACTTGAGGAGACGTGAGGAGCGATTTCAATGTCCAGAATTGTGCTGCGTCATTCAGAGCTTGAATATTCATTGCCGAAGTCTGCATCATGTGTATAGCGGCTGTAGCAGTCGAGGAGGGAATTTTGACCGCCGCTGATGGGCGCGTCAAACTTTGGACATTTTCAATGTCCATTCGACATCGTCTCACCACCCAACTTTGTTTGCGGGAAAAGTTCAGTTTTCACGCTTGTTCTTGCTGAACATTCACTCATGGATGGATCCTTCAAGGTCTATCTTAAGTAGTCATAGCCGACTGTCACCAGAACATATTAGAAATATTGGTGGTGCGCACTGCGGATTCAATGCCAACAAATGTCTTATCGCACCCTTGACATTCACTCATGGAGAGTCCTTTGGAGGTTCATCTCAACCTCTGAACTTCTGAAGCGTACTGGCCAAAGTGATTACCACAACAGAATTCAAATCTGTCTCTCTTGAACTGCGCAGGTTCCAAACCTGCCGACAAGTTATTTTTCTCTCGGAACACCCTGACATTCACTCATGGATGGTTTCGTCAGAGGTTCATCTATGATCTAACTGGTCACCAGAAGGGGACTTCAAGCGACAACGATCCCGCTGAAGTAAGTTTTCACTGATGCGCGTCGTTTTGTGCTTTTCTTGGCGAAGCCTCTACTAAGTGAGTCATTCTCGTCTAGCCTTTTTTATACATGTTATTAAACAATATCATTAACGAGGACTCCCCTTCGGTCCGCTCCATGACAATACATTGTATTTACAGTCGCAAGACTCTCCTTTTGTCGGTTGTATACAACAATACTTTACAGTGGCAACTCCGGAAATACAATATTAGCACAGTCTTGTCCTTCGTTACCCTCGATAGTGCCGTGTACAACTCACCGTGAGCAAAGGGATCCGTTCTAAGGTCAAGCAAGGTTCGTGCCAGCGTCAAGCCTTGACAACCATTAAATGTAGTTGCATACGCGAGTCGCAAAGGAAACCGTCTTCGATTCACCGTCCACGACGAACGGTTTGGATGAAACGCAAAGTTAATGCGGAGAATGCAGTGGCTTTTGAAAGTATTGATGAGTTGAATTTCAAAAAATCGACGATGCAGAGCAACTATCCGCACGCGCGCGTTTCTGAACAAGCCTTTTTCCACCGAGAGGTTTCGTTGAATGGCGCAAATGTAGTTCTGGTAGAGATCCAGGCGATGAGGAGATAATCCGGGATGGGTCAACATTGCAAAGTAGTCAGGTATGTGTTCTGGTGCACTCAATGGTGCGTGAGCGGCCTCTATGATGGGACCGATAGTTGTCCGCGCATCCAATAGATAGATTCCGTCTTCCGCAGAAGCCGTGTTAGCGCCAAATGTGAATACATTTACACGAATATCTCCGATTTCTGGGATGGCGATGAATCCGTCATAGCGCCAGAAATTATTTTTATCGATCTGATATCTGCTTCCGTTTTGAAGACCAAGAACGCCGTGAAATGAAGCAGAGGTCGCCATAGTACTGAGCAAAGAGCTGCAAAAAGGAGACGGAGCATGAACGCGCAACAACAGACGGAAAGAGCCGTGAAGAGAAGACAGAACGCAACAACAAAGCATGACGTGGTGGACGCCATCGCCGGCGGGATCTCGTGCTTATAAATAGACCAATGGACGTTCGGGCTTTCATTCTTTTTGTGTAACGTGACTGACAATGAGTCAATCTTAGTGTTCTTCAAGTTATCATCCACGCAGGTTCTGATTCTGGGGCTCCAATAGATTCATCCTAAACCATCCGTCGTGAAGCAGGCGCAACCAATCTGCCAAATCAATAGAACTTCAAGTTTTTGCCCACAATAATGTTTTCAGGATATAAAAGCAAGCTCTGTCTACTACCTCAGTAGTTCAGAGTCCCATCTGCGAAGCTTTTATTACTTTGTATAAATCATGCATTTCTCCTTCAAGCTCCTCCTCGTCGTTACTACTTTGGCAGCATGCATCTCTGTCACTGCCGCACAGTGCAAGTCTTACTTCGACAACTGCGACACGAACGATGATTGCTGCAGTCACCACTGTGCTCTACTGTACGTGAGTATGAGTAGCTTGCTTTGCATCCAG